CTCAGTTCTAGTTGTGTTTAGCATTTGAATCTTACCCTCACAGTGAATTACAAGCAAATGAAAAACTCCAGAAGATTCCAACTAGCTTAGCCAAGCAGAACTCTCTAATAATGTACAATAAACTACCACAACCAGACTACATTTATTAACCTGTCTTCACCTTCCAGTTGCTTGACCAGTGAAGTTATGCTTTCTAACAGTACAAATAGCTTCTTTCCCACAAGCTGTCTGCTTTCAGGCTTGCATCCAAGAACTCAGTAGGACCACTAACCTGAGGGACTGAGGCTTAGAAGCCTGTTTCTAATTTAAACCATTGCTACAACAGCCGAGAGACGAATACAACCAAATTCAGCCACTATGCCCAGACCATTACATTTTAAGTCACAGTGGCTGTGGGTCTGCTGTCTTTCACCCTGAGCCATGGGTCAATGCTTGCTGAACCTGACAACCAGACTTGTGCTGTCACTACCGAGCACTGGTGCAATGCAAACCAAACAGTTGAGAAAAGCAGATGATACGAGATATTTTTTTTATTGGTTTGGAATGATTTTACAGCTTTGTCTTGAGATTTCTTAATACATCTATGGTTATTAATTTTAGAAAACTTGGTAAGTAAATTATTGTTAAAACATTGGCTTTGCACGTAGCAGGTGACAATAAGAATCTAGGTATTAACAACGGTTACCATTTGCATTGAAATAATTCGAATTTAGTATTAAACTCTAGCTTTTTATTAAAAAAAACCCAACAGAACAGACTCAACAAGTACTGGACACAAAAAAGGTCAATAAAACTGTATCTGAGTGCCCCCAGCTTAAATAATAAAATCCTGGCTTCACCAAGAATTAATTACAAAATCTCCCAAACACTAATTTGTTTTTCTGACAGTTTTTTAATCATAATTGCCTGAATGAGAGCAAGCAATACGATAATGATGAGATAGACTGGGTCTCCATTTGCTCTCAGGTACATGACCACCGATAGGAAGCATCTGACAGAAAATCTGTGCCTGATGAAAAAACTGATCCAAAGTAGTTACTGAATTTCACGCTCTCAGTGTACAGGACACACTGTCAGCATGGTAAATTTTTCCATTGTGTGCTTCATGACTGACCCATTCTGTGAAGCTAGAACTATAGCAGAGTTAAACTAACAGAAGAAAAAGTACTGGTAACTAATAAAGCACCATCTAAAGAGAAACAAATTTAGGAATGTGGTGAATGTTTTTCATTACTTCTTTCACATATGGTTTTTATTGCCATTCAAAACAGTGTAAGTGTCTCTTATTACTTTATAATAAGAGAAGAATTGATTCATAAATGGAGCTACTATCACCTAAAACCAACTTAAATAAACATGGAATCTCAGTGGAAAAAATGTACCTTTTATCGTAAAATAACCTGGGTCTTTAACTTCTGGATATAAAAAAAAGAATGTTTTATGATTAATACTTTAAAAACGTCTCTGGTTGAAGTGAAAAGAAAGATGGCTTTTATAAGCAGTTATAAACACTTGCTGGTAAAGGATTTTAAAGAATAACTTCAGCCAGTGTCCTTTTACGGTCATAGTAAGCACCTGCTTACTTCACCCATAGCTTTTTCTGGATTTTTGCATAATTGTAATACCTCCTCATTACGGGATTTTATTGTAAAAAGGTTGTTCTGGTTTACAGGGGTAAAAAAAACAAATGTTCAAAAATAAGCTGAAAAATTTAAACCCAAAAATTTCTTCAGCAAACGTATGGAAGTGTGTGTATTAGGCTCCCCTCATTGGATTGGCATCACAAAAGTGTTCCTGTCTGTAGTAACTCTGCTTCAGCACACCCTGACACACAAAGCTCAAAACTAACCTTAATTCGGAGTAGATGCAACTCAACCCAGTGAGGGTACAAAGGCACTGAGGGAACAAAACTGGGTTTTGAGGTAGAAGGTACGTGATGAACACTTGGCAAGGTGCTAAACATAGGAAACTGAAATGCCTGCAAGGCAGCTGCAGGCTGTGGCTCCCCACACTGCTGCTACTGCTGGCAGGAAGAGAGAATTGCCCTGGTCCTGCTGACACAACACCTGTAGCATGCTCTCGTGGACTCCATACCAAAGTCAATTTGGACTTAAAATCTAATGTCTTCCAGTACTGAGGCTCATTTAAGGTTCTCATTTGGTCCTCAAGCCTTTCACTTTTGTAGCTAATACATACTATCAAAAAAAATCACAAAGAATGTGCACAGATGGTCACAACACAGGTAATACTGCAGTAATTGCTGCTGCTAGAAAAATAAGATTCCAAGAACTAAACATGCAAAAACATATTTCTCTCCATTTTGTGGCACTGTGCTAAAGTGAGGTTTTAAAGCAGTTTCTTGAACAGCTGAATCAAAAGCGATTCCAGGATGTTCAAAGCTACTCAGAACTGTCCCCTTCCTATTATCCCATGCAAAAACCTTCTACTAGGATACTTTGTAATTTCACTGTATTTCCAAATTTATTTTACTTGTGTATGAAGAAAAAGAAGTATTTTTATGAAGATGTGCTTTGAATCCTGACAGTTTGCACACCAGCAGCCTTCCCAAGAGTCTCCTTCACATAGTTTCTAAAGAGCACACAGACACAATTGTTAGTGTGGGAGGTGTGTGCCAGGGGCATACACAGTGTTTCACATACAGCCTTATGAAATCAGCAGCTCAGGGGAGCTGCTGAAACTTAATTAACACAGTGCTAGAGACTGCTCGCCTCTAGAGGCAAAGGCTGGCAAGCCACAAAGGACTGTTACAGCAGCTATAACTTTTCAGGCCTTTGGGTTGCAGAACGGGAAGATCCTGCACAAACCGCATTAGCAAAAGCAACCCTTCATCCCACCCTGCCCAAAACAACTCTGTCCAGCTGCATGGCATTTACTGCTAGGAATCTTTTTTACAGTGTGTGCAACTCTTCAAGTTTCTGCCTAGTTGGGTCAAGGCACCAACAGGAAATTGGTTTATGTGGCAACCATCCAGCAGAAAATAGGCTTAAGTCACCTGCTCTGAACAGGTCGTTGCACTACAGAGAACTGGCTGAGTACTTCTAAGCTTACACTGAAAAGGGTAGAGGCACTCCACAACTATAGTATAGTAACAAACAGGTGGTTACTTCTGTGGCAGTAAACACAGCACAAAACCTAACACACCCTTACAAACACACACACGAAGTTGTAATAAAATACGATCATGGGTCCATGTTTTAAAAAAAAATAAATCTTTGGAGGCTCAACTTTGCTAATTGCAATTTCATCCATACTAAAGGCAGAATGGTGTTTTGCCACTGTACCTGTATAAAATATTAGTAAAAGCATTTTCTACGACAGGCTTTTCTCTCCATCTTCTTTATACACTGGGCTAGTGTCATCTGCATAATCTTTTTCTGTCATTCCAGTTGGGCTCAGAACAGACTATATCATGACACACATGAAAGGTACCCATTCATCATTCAGTTGAAGCTCACATCATCAGCAGAGTAACACAGCTGATGGCAGGGTACACACGAAGGCCACGCAAGTTATTAACGACCAGAATGAGACAACTGAAGGACAGCCCATTCTTTGCAGAACACGTAGAATTGTAGCAGCACAATGTAAGGAAAGAATTAGTACTGAATGTAGTATTAGCTGTATGGAACTTGCTTTTTGGAAAAGTTGTGGTTGGTTGAAAGGGTGTCTTTTAATATAACAGCTTTACTTAATTCTGGTAAAGCTAAATTGCAGTTGGTCTGGACACTACTGGTAAGTTTTCTTCTTACAGGAACCACTGCTGCACATATGTACTTTCCCATAGCTGGTATAAAGAAAAATTCCTCCTTTTTCCTGATGCCTATGTACCCTCTTTCATCCCTTTTGTCTTTGAAGGATGATTTTGGTAAGAAACAATTCAGAATCACAGAACCACAGAATGGTTTGGGTTGGAAGGGACCTTAAAGACCATCTACTTCCAAAACCTCTGCCATGGGCAGGGACACCTCCCACTAGACCAGGTTGCTCAAAACCCCATCCAACCTGTTCTTGAATACTTCCAGGGAAGGGGCAACCACAACTTCCCTAGGCAACCTGTGCCAGCATCTCACCACCCATACATATATTTTAAATCCGTAATTTCTCTATGAAGTAGAAGAAGATAAAGCAATCAGGTTCAAGTTGATTTTGCTTTCATTACAACAATTCAACCAATAACTTAAAAAAAAATAATAATTTATTTTTGAAAGAAAATCCAGAGGAGAAAGTAATCAAACTGTGTATAACGCAATCTTGCTTACAGCACTGAATTTGGAGGCTACAGGTTTGTTAATCAGCACTTAAATCATAGATATATGTTGTGTAGAGCATGCACTTGCGTTACATGCTTTAGTGTTGAAACAGCATGCTTCAGTACAGTTTACAAGAAATCAAAGCAGAGTAGTTTTGTGACACAAGAAGTGGATTCCTTTTGTTATCATGTCCCACCATGTTCAGAGAGATGGCTGCTTTCCCTGTCTGAACAAGCCGGCAGCAGCAGGCAGCCACAGAACGCAAGATTCATCAGTGCAAAGACATACAATTTAGAAGATACTAATTTTTCATTTTAGAAAATTCCATTAAAACCTTCACAGTCTCAGTTCTTGTCTAATCAGTGTGTATATGTTGTAATACTGGCAAGACAGAAAGCTGAGATAAAACGAATCTTTTACTTGGCAGTTCTTAATATTCTGAGATCTTAGGCAACAATGCAAGACTTCGAGAACCTTATTTGAACACACATTCCTCTCCGAGGAGATTATGTGTGTAGTTATTTTATTTTAGACCACCGCCAAATAATCCCCACTAGACTGCAATATGCATATGCACATACAAGTCCATTGTAAGAAAGCTGAAATATTTAAATACTCAATTTTTTTAAGAGATCATGCACTGGTGCTCTTTGATGGTGAAAAGCCAAATAAAAGACTCATGAGAGCACTACATTAGAAAGCGACCAAAGGGCATAGCTTAATTCTTACCTTGGCTGTTTTTTTCACGAGTTGACATTTTTGCTGGTTATGGGACAGAAATAAAATATCTTAAAACTATTTCTAAAGTCTCACTCACACCTGCTTGGATGAAGACTTGGCAAATAGTTCAAAACTTTAGATTTTTGTTTTCATAACCTTTCTTTATACACATACACACAAAGAAAATAATCAAAAAAGGTTTTCTGTTTCCCAGAAATAAAATGAATTTTCCCACCACCCACCAAAAATTTCTGTCCTTCCTACAGATCCAATTTGATATGGCATTTCTTCATAATTTCAGTGATCCTTATACAGGTCTTGAGTAACATTTGGAGAGATGAGATTTATTTGAATAATTATGAATGCTATTTTAGCTCTATATCCCTGTTTCATAAGCATATGCCCCAATGTAGTTATTTAGAGGAAATACTGCTCAGTCAAAAGCCAGTCCTTTCAGCTTAATCTAGTATTTAAAAATACATGGTTTTATTTACCTTGGCTGACGATGACATCTTTGTGCCTAGGGAAAAATTCAAAGTAATATTGTTAATAATATGTGAAATGGTTATCAAGCCAATACCATCTAGTTCTTATACATTATTCCATTTAGCAATCTTATTCTTAGTATAGTATAAATGTAGTATAGGATGCTAAATAACTGATCTTGGACATCATAGTGCATTTTTATTTAGGTTATTTTAGGAAATTCACTACATCTTCTGAGTAACTTAAAAGTCTATGGCCCTGTGGCAAGGGGTCCTAAGAATTACTGTGACAACAAAATACAAAAAGCTTTTAAAAATAAATGTTGGAGGGTATACTCCTTGCACATGGAAAATTCCATTTTTAGAGAGCAAACTTGTCATAATTACAGGTTTTAAGCTGTCAAACACCTTCAGGCCTGCATGCAAAACATTTAACATTTGTCAAAATAAGCTGTCAGCACACAACAACACAATTTTTTCTAGGAATTAACCCTGTTGGATATATGGATTAAATGTAATCAAGCTGCAGTATCATTTAAACTAGATCCACGCAGCACTACTGAATGTACAAAGTCTTGAAAGGAGTGCAGTTGAGATGCCTCTCCTTGTCAGTACCAGGAATGACCTACTCACAAACCACCCCTGCCCCCCCAAGTCCTTTTTTATTAAAAGAGCAGAAATACTGATTCCCAGGATCAGAGCTACTTCTTACCAGAGTAATACTCCTTGATAGGAGAATGTATTGCATAAAAAACCCCTCTTGAATTCACTTGAAGTATTTTTAGCTGGATGGAGATCAAATTTTTTAACAGTGACAAAGGGTCAAGCATATACATGAGGAAAGTAATCTCTGGCTATTGGCAGAATCACTATCCACCACACTGCCAAATGAAAAATGAAAACTGGATTCCCAGTCTTGACTGAAAAACACTGAATGATGGGCTGCTGTGGGAACCCTCTTACTTCTTATGGCTTTATCAGACTGATTTACAGCTCAGTGCTGGCTTAAAGACTGAGCTAAAAAACAAAGGTCCTATCTTGGGCTGGTAGCACAAAGCATATGTAAAACATTTCTGTCCTGGGGCCCCCATTAGGGGCTGAATTCTATTCCCTTGCACGAGACTCTGGTAACTTCAGGCAGATTAGGCCAGTGTTTCTTAACTGGGAACAATACATACAATATAACATAAGCCTTTGCACAATACTGACCAATTCTTCTTCAGCAAATGTGCTGATATCCACACTTAAGATTAATTTAAGATGGTTTTGTTTTTCCCATTCCTAGCAGAGAAGGAATGCACTTGCACCACACTTGACTCTAAGCATGTGTTTGATGACTAGTCTTAGACGCAAGTAAAGGAAAGCACTACAGACACCATCTTAAAAAGATCGGAAATTACTCTGAAAGGCCTGAAGAGTTTTATTTGTCATTTTGGGGGGGTTTCAGCTACTTCTTCCTTGAAACAGTTACTAGCTATTTGAACGAAGATTAATGAAGAAATACATAGAAACTGCAGATAGCATCAAGCTGGGAGAAGATGCCAGCACACTGGGGAATCTCCACAAAAAGGAGAAGGATCAGTCAAAAAGTCAACACAATAAATTCAACTAATTCAGCAACATTTCAAAGTAAAAAAAAAAACCCAAACACTAAAACCGAAACCAAACCAAATCAAAACCACCACCAACATAAACCCAAAACAAACAAAAAACACCCCAGAACCCAAAGTGTGCAAATATGAAGTGGGAAGCCCAACTGCCAAAGAGTACTGAGGGCAAAAAGTGGGTCACAATGGGGGTCAACAATATGGAGTTACAGCAAAAAGCAGAATCTTGTCCCTGTGCTGACAGGAGCAGAAGTAACTATTTTGGGCTATTCATCCCCAGTAAGGCCTCCTCTGGAGACCACAGACTGTGAAAATCTGCTGAAGAGGAGCATAAGGCGAATAATGGACTACAGCCCATCACCTACTGAAGTTGAAAGCTGAAAAGAAGATCCTTGCCTATTATCTAGGACCTGAAATCAGGAACCTGTTAAACAATTATGTTGAGAGACCCACCTGGAATCATAAATGTGTATTCTTACCATTACAGTCTACTTTAGGAACACATGTATTATGTCAAACCCAGTAAACTAACTTCAAGAAAAGACATCAGCATTTTCAAATCACCTTTAAGTACAAAAAAAATCCCAACAGCTGGAAGCTTCACAACAGTAGCATTAAGCCATAAATCTTAACTTGTAGTGCATAATTCCACTAACCCAAATTAAACACTAAAATATATTTACACTCAAATCCTGCATTCACATTTTTGTAATAATTTTAAGATTCCACAGGCACCTGGAGCATCACATTGCCAGGTTATGCAAGTAATTACTCCTGATTAAGAAAAAATAAATAAAAAGCAAATGGTCTTATCATATACATAAATTCACCAAAATTATGCAATTACATAATGCCATGACTATAGAGTTGACTTGCTTTTATGTACCAAACTGATACATACTTGTCTGCATTCTTTGCCACTTTCGATATCAATTTAGATGTTGATGCTACTCTCAGCAGCTTGTTACGACTGTCATCTGAACTCTCCCAAGCACTGTGAGGTTTTTCAGCAGTCAAAGACTTCTTTATGCTAGAAGAAACAAAAATGTATTTTAAAATGAGAAGATAATAAGATAACAATAACTGGATCTGGTATAGGACTGACATATCAAGCAGCAGGAGACAAAAGCAGAGCTAGGTCCTCCTTCAAGCTGAAGCATGAAACAGGAAAAATAAGATTAGTCAAAAAGTTCTAACTGGATGAATGAAAACAATTGAGCAAGACAGTCGCCAAATGTTTTATCCATTCCTTTCCATTTCCAAATGCTCTTACATAAAAGACTTGAACAAAATAACTATACGTCATTATTATATTGCTAACAAATTACAGAAGTAGAAAAAAAAAAAAGAGGCTACAATATACCAGCCTTCAAGAATAAATTATATTCAAAGAATGACTTAAGAAAGAAAAGTAGATTTTTTTTCGTGATTAACTGTTTACCAGTTTTAACACAATGATTTCTGAGGCAAAACAATTCTATCAGATTACAGTTTCATTCAGCTGCTTTGCTGATAGCACATTTTAAACCATATTTATGGCTTTAATCTTTTTCAAACAAATGTCTGCAAATGTCTTGCATGAACAAGGCAAGGTAGGTTTGGCCTGGTATTATGGATGATTACATCCATGAATTCTGATAACATTTTTCAGCAATCTTATTGTAGCCAATTTACACTAATGGAACCTGCAAGTTTTGCAGTCACTATTTCATTAGTTTCACACACATCTTAATCTTGGAAAACATGTCCAAAAGTCATCTAGCTCAAGCTACTCTTCAGCCAGCTGATCTAGAGAGTTTGCATATGTCCTGCTAACAGTATTATACTTCATCCCGTCAGAAATGCTTTTTGCAGGAATAAGTCCTGAATTGCAGCCTTAGAAATGGCAAGCCCCTTCCACAGCAGCCCAACAAGCTGAAAGGTCCTGCGACAAACAAGTTAATCAAACCAAGTTAAACCATTAAGAGATTTAAAAAGGCATTTATTTCTTTTCCCACATTGCAAAAGATTAGTAAGCGAGACTTCAGACAAACATCTTTAGAGTGAGATACCAGGCCACAAGTTCAGCTTCAGACAACTTAAGAGTTTGTGCAAGACATGGAGACAGAGCCTTTATTAAGTGTTATAACATGCATCAGTCAAGTGAAAGTTTAAATATTTATTAGAGCTGTGAATTCAAGCAATGCAAGACAACATAATCTTGTGAACCACAGTAATTTTCAGAGGAGTAAATTTCATCTATTTAAGAGCTTGTTTTGATTTCCTAAATGAAAAATACTAAAATAAAATGTCATACCTTGCAAAACAATAAGGTGGCAATGAACAAAAAAAAAAAAAAAAGGGAAAAACCCAAAACAAACACCAAAAACACATCAAAGTGATCTGCATAGTTTTGAAACTCAGAAACAACCACCCAAATCTTAAAATTTGTTTCCTTGACTTTAAAAAGTCTTTAAAAAAAATAAAATCATTTTTTCTGTGCCTAATTCCCACTAATGTGAGCAGGAACACAGAGGCAATTGTAAAGAATAAAAGTGAAGTGAACCTTACTGGAACCTAGCAGGAATTGAAAAGGTTGGGCAGGAGAGCAAAAAAATTCAAGCTGCAGTCACTTTATACAATAATTTGAGAAGAAAAACTCCCAAAGATGACTTGTAGTGATACTAGTATTTAATAGATACTGTTATGTATCTGTACATGTAGTAACTGGCCACATGCAAAACACACTCCACAATTCAGCAATGCTATGCAAAACCTATGAAGTGTATTTTGAGGAGGATCAAGTCAAAGTCATTGTTTTGTGTTTTAGAACAACGACTGATTAAAGGTTATCTAACTTTACCATATCAGAATTTCAATCACAGAGAACAAAATTCTTTGTAATCTTCAAAAATTACTCAAAGAAAAATTGCACTGTTAGACATCTGCTCTATTGCAATGCATATTGAATGCATATTGTCTAGCACAAAAAATATCAAACATTTATTGACTTGATCACAAGTCTAGAACTATTTCACAGGACTTGTTGTCAAATATGAACTCAGTATCATTACAATAATTTTCTAGTTCTGTACTGTGGTACTGTGAAAACCTTTTAGCTGGAGCAGAACTCTTGCTTTCTTGAGTTTGCCTGTGTGTTTGGAGAGTCTGTGAGGAGGGCTGGGGAGAAGGTGATGCTTGAGTTTGTGGACTTTGATCATTAGAATGAGATTCCTCTTTTTTTTCTTTCTGTCCTGGAGGTTTTTCCTTCTTTTTTTCTGTACCGCTGCAAAATAAAGTATAACACAGAGGGGAAAAAACACAAGAGAACAAGCAAATAAATTAAAAAGGTGGGAGAAAACATCCTCTGTGAAAAGATACGGGAAGTGTGTAACAACTTACTATATGTAATCACTCCAAGAATGCTTTGACTACTCACTCTTTGCAGGTTAGCACTTTGCTAAAATAAGGCTTGTTCACAAGCTCCGAAACCAAAAGAGGTAAGAGAGGCAACAATGTTTGTTTCCTTATTTTTACTTCATAGTTGTAACTAAGTTTACTCTGATTTTAAAATGAATACAACTTTGAGTATGTTCCTTATCTGCAGGTGCTTCTATGGCATTCAAAGCTAACACAAGCTGATGCACCAGAGTCTGTCACCCCTCAGAAAACAAATCCTTCTCCACCTCACCGTGCTGCCAGCCAACGCTCTGCAAGCAAATGGCAGGAGTGTGACTTGGACCATCTCTGATTAGATGAAGCCTGCCATGAAGCTATACCTCTCTCTCTCTCTGTATTTCTGGACATGCATGGTACTGCTTATTTTTGTGCTGTCACCAAAAGAGTGAGATGTTGTTGCTGCCCCTCTGGGCTCTTGCTGGCTGCAGCAGAGTTCAAAGGAAATAATTCCTGAAAAACTTAATAGTTGATTTGATCTGTAGTTGACTGATATCAACTGTCTTTCCACTTCTTTCATGCCTTCAGTAAGCAACAACTAAAAATACATCTTTATTTTCATAGTGCTATATTTATTTCATTAACATTTGAACCAGCTTTAAATACATGTCATTAACAACCTTAAATTCATTAAGAACCTAACTATAGGTCCACTAAGTAAACATAAAGATTAATTAAAATGCTCTTCTCTAAAATAGTATGCTTTGCAATTTACTGAATCACACAGAAAATAGAAGGACCCGACAGAGAAGAGCATTCTGTAGTACATGGCTTATTTCTTCTTGAAGATTAAAAAAACATCTTTCAAGATACATTTCTCAGTGAACAAACACAGCAAGGAATAAGAGAGATTATTTTCTTAGGTTAAAAGTAACCTGCAAAGTAAAAAAAAATTGAATATTTCTGAAAGGGAGAATCCAGATTTCTCACACCAATTCCTCCCACTCCTCACTGAACTCTTGTATGATCTTAATTGTTTCCATTTACCTTTCCCCCCACAAAAGTACAGAAAATTGTAAGATAATATTAAAATAAATTAACAAAAATGGGGTCTTGAATTTAATATAACAATTATAAGATCTTATTTTTTGTTTCCCTTGTTATTTCATCAATTAAAGTATATAAAATACTACTGAGACAAAGCCTTCAACATTTGCACAACTTCAACTTTACTAAATGCTTCTAAAAGAAGCATTGAAGAACAAGTCAAAATATGAAAAATATTATAAGACCCAAAATACATTTATAAGCATCACTCGGGACTTCTGCTGTGAATGATATGAACTAGTTAAAAATATCAATTATAATCCATCAAGGTTACATTTTTTATTCAGAAAAACAGAAGAAAACAAAACAGAAAGAGCTTTTACTTTACTTGAGGACATATATGTGATCAAAGAGAGCAAAGTTTGAAGAATTGTGGGATTTTAGTTAATATTTTATAGCCAGAAGTCCTTAATAAAGTCCTTAATTAACTAGAAGAATATTATTATTAAATCAGAAGACTTAACTTGCATTGCTAGATGCAAAACCACACTGTGCAATCCTCATCTTTTCTCTGTTTATAGCAAGAAATGCAGTATAGTGAAAAATTATTGGAATCTTGTCACTAAAAAAACCCAAGAATCTCTCTGTTTCTACTCCAACAGGTACACTCATGGACCTCTGCAATCATTCTCTCATGAACACAGGATTTCTGACAAATCTGTCTACTAGGGCAGATCTCTTTTAGAAATTACCTTTCAGGAAGACATGTTTCCAGTTTTTCCTTTTCCTCTACATGGAGACTCAAAATACAGTCTAATACAGTAAAAGAGATGAGGGAAGGAAGAGAGAGCATGCACAAACGTAACGATACCAGCAATCCTGCAATCCACCTCTGTTCCCCCAGCAGGCTCAGGTGAATGCCACCTGCTGATATCAACATAGCATCTAATTTATCGATTCAGTCTCACATTTTCTATGCTCTTACCCAAACTCATTTAGCTCATCCAATCCATTCCCTAGAAACTAGAGGTTCAGTGTGGGAATCTCTTCCATGTCTTCACTAAGCTTGTCAGCTGTAGACTATCCATTTCACCTTTGCCATTAGATTCACTCCTTAAGTTTCTCTAATGGACCATGAGAATCACTGGACCACTCGTGTTTCCCTTTGAGTTGCAGAACAAAGTCCACCTTGGGTTCCAGCATAGTGGTTTTGTCTATGACCAGGTTGCAAGTGGGCTTCCTTTTTCCACTGCATTTTCATTTAAAAGTAATTATGTATATATGTGTCAGCCTTGGTATTTACTAACTTTGTGCTGAATTTATTTGGTTTCCTCACTTCTGCTAAAATCTTCGGCTTAATTTTATTATGACTGGCTATTACAGAGTGGCCCTCCCACTAACAGCTCACACCCACAAAGCCTGAGATTAGACATTTTCTTTCACTTTTCATAAGCTGGTAGTTTTAGCAAAGGAAGTCTATATTCTTCCAAATATCAATCAAATTTCATGGAAGGATATATAAAGACAAGAGAGCGAAAGGAACTGCTGAAAAGATAACTAAAGAGAGCATAGGCTTTCCTAAAACAAGCCTGGAAGAAGGGTGTCATATATCTTCAGCTGCACTGGAAGCACCAAAGCCTCCCCTGTACAGTTATTTGGGTGCCCAGGGAGAGCTGCCCTCTTTTGGTCTACCCAGGTCTCCTTTTAAAGACCTCAACTCAGATGAAAGGGATGCCAGCCACTCCACTCTGCTCTTCTTCTGCAGTCAAGTGTTGGGCAGCCAATGAATCAAGAAGATGATTCAGCACAAATGCAAGCTGAACACCACGGGAACTCGACTGGCTCTCATCAAAGTGCCAAGAGCCACAGGGGTAAGATTAATGAAAAAGTGCTAACTAAGAAATGCCTTCCTGCAGGAATGTCTTTTGTCCCAGTGCCTGTCACCAAAGCAGATGGACATACAGTGATCACTTTCTGATTTATTGCTGAAAAGTAAACATAAATATTCAATAAAAAGGAAGATACTCAACGCTAAATAATGAAGGAGGGTGAAGAGCAGGGGCATTACCCTTGTTTTCCAAATTTCCAACAGGCACTTCTTCTGTTTTTTTTGCTCATACAGCGTATGTTTGCATGCAGCATTTTTATTCCCTTAAGTATATCATTTCCCTGTCTTGTTGTACAGCACAATATTTACTTCCACACTAGATGATAAATCAGCCACTGGAGTTAACAGAGTACTCTACAGAGGCCAAGAATTTGTTCACATAATTTAACACAGTTATACACTAGAGTATGTTCAGTCTTGTGGCTATATCTGGCAGCCTGTTCTTCCCAACAAAGAGGAATAGGTGCAACACCTATTGAGTAAAGAAGCCATGTCATCACTATCTAACAGATTCACAAAAGTAGTTATACAAACACTTTGTTTACTGTATGCAGCTGAAACTATTATAAGTAGGGAAAAGAGCTATTGTTTGGTTCTTAGCTCATTTAACTTACAAATACTCAAGAAGTGTTATTTCTACATGTTTGAGATCCGATATATATAGCCTTCATAAAGATTAAGCAGCCATATTTTTTGGTTAAGATTTCCTACACAAAAATGCAAACTTTTATCACACACAATTCACTATTGTTTCATAGTTATTTTTCTATTGCCTACCATGTACACTCCAGACAATGAAGTCAGTTTTGTCCTTTAAAAGAAGATGCAGATGAATACCAGAAGGAAAAGTTTTCAGTTTGTATTAGAAACACATTTGCCTGTTTTGTCCTTTACTGAGAAGGTATTTCAGCAACTACACACTACAGAAATATTCTCCATTTATTAATTCTTTTTAGAACCTTGTTGTAAGCAGCCCAACAACATGGTACATCTCCTAAGTTTATTTGTACCTTACTAGACTACAGAAAGCTCTGCTGATGGTCATGCAGCAGAAAAAGTAAAACGTTTGCTATGGTTTTTTTTAAGCATAATTTCAATTTGCATAAAAAGTAGGTACCTTTTTGCAGCAGATGAAAGAGTTTCTTTTCTGGCAACAGAAACAGAGGAACTGTGGCTTGTTTTCCTGCTTCCTGTACTCCCGTTAGTAATACAAGACATCGAGATAGCTTCTCGGAGGGTTGGCTGACCTGGAAAAATTAATATTGAAGAACATAAAGTTTTACAGCTGTATCCAAAGATCTATCTGAGAAATTAAAAGCTTTCAGATGTGGACTTGGTATCAGCTCCGGCATTCAGGACAATCATCTAGCCTGTATCCAGTGACATACATTAATGAAGCCTTAACCTAGGCAGCAGACAACAGGAGACCTGGGACAATCAGAGGCAACATCACACTATGACAGAGGTCAGTTTCTCTACTGCCATGCTGCCAGCAAATATTGTAATTCAGCAGCATGCCACATCTTTTTCCAGTTGTGATCCACAGGGAGAATTACAGATTACATATGGCAAGCCTTGAGAAGCTGGTAGCTCCACCAGCTGTGGGACAGCAGATACAATTAATTCAACTCTGTTGCTCAAAATCACCACAGCTCAGATAATATCACACGAGGTTTGTTGCTTTAGATTTGTTTTTTACTAAAGTTCAAAGAAGTTACAGACAGAAGTCCTCTCTATACTGAATGAATTAGTAAGTTATTTAATGGTTATGATTTTAAGGACTCAAAATTCAAGTTTTTCAGCTTATTTTCAGCTCCTCCTTCCATCTTAAAATGGTAGCAACCTTTTAGTATATGCACTATGGTACAGTTATGAAGTTTCCAATCATTTACTCTGTAGAACATCTGCCACATCCTGTGAACATTACAGATTCCGTCTGGGGATGAATTAAGACTGTATATGTGAAGAAGGCTGTTGTCTGTCAGATGCCCACTTCACTCACTGCAGAAGTTTGAAACTATGCAGTGAACGTGGGAGGGGACTGCAAGGAAGATGCATTGGGTGGGGGGGAGCAAAGGCTCTTCTATTTTAAGAGCTGAATGTTAGCTGAGCAATCGGTTCCCAGACCTGCCTCTGTGCCACAGACCATCAGTGAAATGAAATGCATCTTATTCAAACCTGACATGTCACAATTTCCCACTAATTGTGTCTCCTTTTTCACTTGCCAGTCTTACTTCTAAGGTCTTATTTTGCCCTCTCCTCCCTCCCAAATGTTAAACTGGTGGTTTTACCCTTTGAACCATTACACGCCCTGTAAAAAGTCCCTGGGCTAATTTCATATTAAGCATAAAAATAAAAAAAATAAAAAAATTTAAAAAAAATCAGCAGTCACTTTTGACCCCATCTCTGTGCAACATCCCATTTCACAAACAGCAAATTGTTACTGCACCTCATGGGGTTGTGATGTCCACTCTGACTTCAGAAACGAGCATGAAGGACACCACTGACAGGAAAATAACAGGTCAGGGCTCATGGCAGGCTTGGAATAGTGTGAGATAGATAAGACAAGAGGCCACACATTGAAGATAAAAGTGAGGAGTAAAAAAGCAGTTGGGGAGAAGCGACTGCTCTGTACACTGAAGGTAAATTCACACAGATGCATTATTTGAACAATACCAGCATCTGGTCCATTTGTCACACTGCAGCTCTATCAGGCAGGCTGAGAGGCAAATTAATTCTTATTTTAAACAAGCACTTTACATACAAGAGATACTCATCAAGGGAATATTAGATTTCAGAACTATTTGGATGAATGCAGAAATAGGCTTCCCTGTGCTAACCATATACTGCTTCAAATGCACCAAAGCAGCCCAAGTCTACATCTGAAGTTCAGATTAGGAAAGCCAGAAGGAGTATGCAGAATATCCCAGGCAGAAATGAGAATAAAGGAAATGTAACATAAGTAAGGACACACTTAAATACAGAAACACTGCAAAGATCATTGTTCTTTCTTTCTAAATAAATAAACTTAAGAGTGATTACTTCCAATAGTATTTCTTAAGATACCAGTTTATTTGCAACATAAGGATTGGAATAAAGATGTTATTTTAAAAGTGAATATACTGTACAAAACCTCTACAGCTTTTACCCCCCTGTGTAACTTAGATTCAAGAACAAAAGCACACCACTTAATAGGCACTTTTGGTATTAAAGCCTAAATAAATGAGCTTCTTTTATTTTCAGTGACAAAGTAAATCATCTTCTTTGTGGAGATGCATAATATCAAGGCCTGTGATTCACTCTTGAACTGCATATGACCTGCACATCTCTGTCTGTTCAACATACTAGATAATGCCTCTCCAACCAGCACTAGGATGGTTTCCCAGAAACATGAATCAGGAGACATAATAGCAGCAATTCTCAGTACAGTGGGGAAAGCATTCAGCAGAAAGTGTAAAGAACAGGGATAATGCAGACAAGGTGTAGGAACTTTCTAAGATGGGGAGCAAAAAATTACTCCGTTTCCTCAAGCAAGGGGCACATTGCTGTTTTGTTAACTGATGACATCTAGAATAATTCCACCTAGTCAGTACAAAAAGTGTTAGTTTCTACTTACTTTGTCCAAAAACTGCTTATTCATAAAATTGTACATCAATGAATACTCACGACAGGAATGTGCATTGCTCTGCATAATGATGAATGCAATAATAATAATAAAAAGGATCAATACGGCAGTTCTTTGGGTTTGTTTTTTTATAGTAAAGTGGATGATGATGGCATATCTGCAAGAGTAACTCCTAATCTTAACAAGCAGCATATAAAACTATGTTTGAGATGAAGAATTTTGAATCCAAGTAGAAACAATTTTTGTAAAATTACTAACATTTTACACATAATCCAGGTCTCTTACATCATCAATATCTAGGAAAAACTTGATTGACAGATTTTTTTCAAGTATCAAAAAATGTATCATGCTTTCTTACATGTTAGAACAAAATCTTGGTCAGTCACACAGTTCAGTTTGCCACACTTAAAGTGCAATAAAATGTAAAAAATGACAAAATTTAAAACTCCCAAACCCAACAACTCTAAGAAACAAGGCACCTTCCAAATACTCTCCATATATTCCATTTTAGCTAGATGTTCATAAGTGACTTTTAGAAAACCTATTTTTAAAGGGGAAAAATAAATAAATTCAAGTAGCCATCTGCAATTATATATAAAGGAAATGTATTTACAGTTGAAGCTGTAAAAACGAAGGGTAAGTTTAAGCCCTATGCACATCCTGAGCAGTGGAGCAATGAAGCCTGGCAGTCTATGGGGTCATAGATGCACAACTGGGATTTTCCCAGCTGGCTGAGAAGTCCAGGGAAGCCAACCCACCAATCCAAACCACACGACTCCCTTCATTACTTTTAACCTGGGCATCATTACAGTCAAAAGAAGTAAAAATTTAACAACACTACAACCTTCTTCAGTGCAGAGATAGTCCTTCATAGCTGTCAAACAACTTTGCTTTGGAGACATAGGAAATAAAGAAACAGTACAGGAGAACACAAATTCCAGATCAATAGACTAAAACATCTGAGTCCTCCCAGCACTTGAATTGCAGCTCTCTGCCAATATCATGTCATACATCACCTGCTAGCACAAACAGTCTGAAATATTTCAGACTGAACAGCACACAGCTTTATCTGTTAGTTCAGAACAAAAGCCAGACATAAACTGCACGTAAAATGAAAGCCAGTGTATGGTGACCAGGATTAAAGACAAATTGTCAGAGATCAAAGTAGTAAAAAATGTTTTTTATGGATAACACATTTATTTCTGTTCTGATAATTTTCATAGAATGGTATCTGTTGAGTTCAAAAGAATCATTTCATTAACATCTGTCAAGTATACAAGTGTGTGAATGAAAGATAACTAGGATTAGAAAAAACAGACCACAACAAACGAAGAATATATTTCCAACTCTTTATCAGCCTTGATTAGATAACTGGGGAAGAACTAAAGTCAAGCTGTTAGAGACACTGGTAAATTTTGAAAATGTGTGTCCTGAGATAACATGTTTGCTCTTCTTTCTAAACATACAGGTAAGGTATTACAGCTGAGGATCATTAAGTAATTCACTTATTTTTCCCAAACCAAACAGTTAGTTTTTAACATTAAAATACAGTTTATTATATTATTGTGTTAACTGGAACAATAACTTAATTTTTTTATTTGCTGATATCATGACAGATAAATGGTCTTTCTCCTGAAGAAAAAACAAACCTTTCTCTTCTTCAAGTAGTTTCAATCTAAAGTAAGTAGCTGCAGCTGCATTAAAAACCATATCTAGACACTTTTTTCAAGTGGATTTGAAACAAAAAGGACAATTTCTTTTTCTTACAAGAAGGCATACAAAAACCAAGTCCCTCAACAACCTCAGAATACTTCATTTTCAGCAAAACTTGACAAAGATTTCTGTATTTCATATATATTACATGCCTAGAAGTATTGTGCAAAGGAAAAACTGCATTGAGACAGAAACTAAATTCAGTATTCTTACTAAAAAAGCATACACTGTGTGTTCAACCACACTGCTAGTTACCAGAGAACCCACACAGGTGAGCCGCAGAAAAACAGACTGAAATAGTTCTAAGTGTACCAGAACATAAGATTTTATCTGCACTTCCTTCCTAAAATAAAGACATCAAAAACAAACTAGAAGTTATGACAAATCCTAAACTTACATCAAGATGTTATAATAAATTGTACCAAAGCAATTAACTGAAGTCATTGCTCTGCTTCCAAAGTTTCAGAGGTTGTCAAGTCTCACAGAAGATGCTGGCAACAAAACAGCTTGAGAGCACTAACACTCTTTAAGTGAGTACTGTATTCTGAAGCTTACAGGGAAAAAAATATTCAGCATTTTGTATTCAACTACTTCAATTACAAGGTAAGAGTCAAATTCTGAATGAGACTTCTTCAGTAGAAAAAAAATAACAGATTTGTTTCAGTTGGAAAAGACCTTGAAGATCAAGACCAACCATTAACCTGGCACTGCCTAGTCCACTGCTAAACCATGTCCTTAAGCACCACATCTACATGTCTTTTAAACACCTTCAGGAACGGTGACTTGACCATCCTTGGGCAGCCTGTTCCAGAGCTTGACAACCCTTTTGGTGAAAGTTGTGGGGTTTTTTCTAATATCAAATCTAAATCTCCCCGGGCACAACATGAGGTAATTTCCTCTTATTCTATC